TCAGTTTTTTAAAAAAAAACAACATATTTTTTAAAAATCTGTGAAAGAATCTAGACATGTGATTCCAACCTCTTCTTGGGGTGGAGGAGTCAGTTATGGGAGGTATTTGAAAACCGACCAGAAAGTGGTTTGGTACAAAATTTCCAACAATTATAAATAGAAGTTATTTTCTGAATTTTGCAAATATTTTATTTTTACAGTAAAACAGTAATCTGCAAATAAAAATGGTATTGTCAATTATACAAATTCTCTTTTAACAAACTGCAGATATCTGAAAATACAGTTTTAACACCAGGAAATTATGAGATGTAATGTCATAAAAAAATGTTATACATTTGATTATATTTTATGATCAACCAGTCTGTTATTCTGCTTTCTTGTTCCTCGGTGCCTGTTTTTAATGGCAATATGCTTTTTATAAACTCCCATGGCAGCCAGAACTTCTTTAAAACATGTACTTTCCCAATTAGATGGTTAGCAACATAGGAGTAGGAAGTGTATCTTTCATTGCTATATCCTTTAGCCTACAGCTCCTGGCACATGGTAAGTGCTTGGTAGCAGAGCTGCTAAATAATGCTAAATGAAGTAGTAGTGAAATTTTAACTCCTTTAATTCTAATTAAGTCTAGTCAGAGAAGCTGCTGGTTTGAGGCCTAATGCTAAACACAAACCAAAGCTCCTATCTCTTACTCCCTTCCCTACACTTGGGACTTCTCAGTTCTGACAAACTAATAAAGGAGTACAGGATGGCAGCCTCTCCTTCCATCCAAATCTCCACCTCATTGATCTCTTCCCTTACTGTGGTCAAACCCCTAGGCCAGGGGTGGGCAAACTTTTTGACTCGAGGGCCACAATGGGTTCTTAAACTGGACCTGAGGGCCGGAACAAAAGCATGGATGGAATGTTTGTGTGAACTAATATAAATTCAAAGTAAACATCATTACATAAAAGGGTACGGTCTTTTTTTTTTTTAGTTTTATTCATTTCAAACGGGCTGAATCCGGCCCGTGGGCCGTAGTTTGCCCACGGCTGCCCTAGGCACAGATGTGGAGTTCCCAAAGATGTTTCTGCTTCAGGAATGTGTGAATGAGAGAGCAAGAAGAGGAAGTTAGAAAAATAATTTGTATAGTATGAACCCATGTTTGTTTAATAAGAAAGATTATTATATATGCACAGGAAATCCCAGAAAGAACATACCAGAAACTTAGTGACTTCAGGAGAATGTGAATGTGAGGAACAAGTGATGGGGGGATTCCTATGACTTTACTTTTTGCTCTAGGGCAGCGGTTCTCAACCTGTGGGTCGCGACCCCTTTGGGGGTCGACCGACCCTTTCACAGGGGTCGCCTAAGACCATTGGAAAACACATATATAATTACATATTGTTTTTGTGATTAATCACTATGCTTTAATTATGTTCAATTTGTAACAATGAAATTGGGGGTCACCACAACATGAGGAACTGTATTAAAGGGTCACGGCATTAGGAAGGTTGAGAACCACTGCTCTAGGGCCTTTTTTACTGTTTAAGTATTTGTTTTATTATTTTTTAACCAAGGATATGAAAACAACATAATGTCACCAACCCAAAACAAAGAGCCTCGCCCTAACTGGTTTGGCTCAGTGGATAGAGTGTCAGCCTGAGGACTGAAGGGGCTCAGGTTTAATTCTAGTCAAGGGGACATGCCCAGGTTGTGGGCTCGATCCCCAGTGGGGGGCGTGCAGGAGGCAGCCGATCAATGATTCTCTCTCATCATTGATGTTTCTATCTCTCGCTCCCTCTCCCTTGCTCTCTGAAATCAATAAAAAATGTATTAAAAAAATAAATAAAAGTAATGACAGAAATTATGAACAGCTTTGAGATAATAACTTAAAAAACAACAACAAAGAGCCTCTCTTCATTTATCTGGTTAGTCAGTACGGGTATGTTTACTTTGCCATTAAGTGTCAAAGCTTAAGTAATAATGAAAACAATTATAGTAACAGAAGAAAAAATCAAAGGGAAAACACATCAAGTACTGTGGACTTAAAAGTTCAATTCAACTGTGCCTGTCAACAGGTCTCAAATAAAGTGAAAAGTGGCTTCCTAATCAATTACCATTACCCCCTGAATTCCTCCCAGCCTACCTTCCTCCTTAAGTAGAAGAAAAACAAGAAATTATATATAAAGAGTAGTATGTAGAAAAGTTTTTGTTAATGCAAACTAACATTAACTAACATTAAAAGAGCTATACTAACATCCAGACACTGTTCTCTGGGAATCTGTAGTTTGGGGCAAATGTTTCACTAACATTCAAGTAGTTAAGTCTCAAAAATGAAGCTACTGAAAAAGCTTCATTCTCAATGAGGGTGGGAAGATTTCTATACAGGAGCAAAGCTAAATTTTTAATAGCCAAAGTGTATATAATTGAGCTGGTTTCAAGTTAAAGCAATATTTTCATTAGTTTTATCTGACCAAAGATCCTAAACTACCATTTTAGAGTACCAAATTCAAAACAAATTAAACCTCCAAACCTTACCTAACTCTCTAAACTTATGCTATCCAAAACAGTAATCATTTGCCACATGTGGTTAATTATTGCTCATGTGCAATGTGGCTAGTTCAACGCAAATTGCAGTAGGGTTTAAAATGCATATAGGAGGACATACAGATGGCCAAGAGACATATGAAAACATGCTCAAAGTCACTAATCATCTGAGAGATGCAAATCAAAACGACAATGAGGTACCATCTCACACCTGTCAGAATGGCTATCATCAACAAATCAACAAATGACAA